ATTGCAATACTTAGAATACAGCGAACGTTACTAAACAACTGTACGAAGTTTCTCGTATAGCTACAGTCTTACGCAACCGCGTCTTATGCAAACTGAGTTATGGTAGCTTTATTCCATTATTTTTGCACTGGAGCGCAAGAGAGTTCCGCTTTATTCTTTGAACTAATAAGTATACTGTGCGATGAATATACACAATGAACTTTTTAATAACTCTGGTCTTTTCCATTTATATTTAAAAAAAAACTTGGACGTTATGGAAGATCAGTGGAAAACGATTATTAAATATCAACGCGAGAGTCCTCTCCCTCTCATTGGGATAAAAAGGTAAACCGAGCGTAAAAAGTCATTTAATTGAATAGCATTATATTGCGGATGGTTTTTGCAAAATGCACTTGGAGAGCAATACGCAGTAAATTATTGTTAGACTGTCGATATTATTCAGGCAAAGCATCGCCCCGTATAGCCACGACTCGTTTCTGAATGTTCCCTTCTACGAGCGATTGTCCCGAGAATTTTTATTGCGGATCAGCGTATTCAAGGGATTTCCTTCGCACTTGATTTACTGCGAGATACAGAACCTGCACACACCGAGCGTGGTTTTATGCTCCGGGCTGAATAATAGTAAAAGCACGGCGTCGTAAAACTGCAATCAAATAATGCATTATCGTAAATATACGGCTGTATAATGTCCGTGTAAAATTCTGATGGTTTATATATCTCGTCCACGGCCGGTATCTACGACCCAGCAACAATGCATCACCTGAAAATGGCGCGTATCGCGATGCTGGTTTTGCCACAAATCATAAATAATGATATCGACTTTAACCGAAAATTTTTAAAGCTGACGTACTTTTAGACAACTAAATTTCCACGCTGCTTATTTAAAGACTTTTATTTACTAATTTTGTGCAGGACGATCAATCTTTTAAGGTTCAAAAGGTGAGAATATTTGGAGAGATTTATTTACGAATTAACTAGCACTGAGTTCTCTTTATACGAACGAAATATATTTCTAATTATAGACGCGCACATATTATTGTAGTATTAATTATTGCGAAGATTGAAAGATTAAGAGATTGAAGAGCGATTACGGATTTATACACATGCAAAATTGCACAATAAGAAAGACCAGTTAATATAAAGAAAGTAAGAAATCATCAAGTTTTAGCGTTTCGTGACTATCGACCGAAAGAATGAAAAAGCAGGCTGTTGAGAGAGTAACGCGACAGTGTACCAAAATAATCGGAAAAAGAGGGGAGAGGGGGAGGGGGAATAAAAGAGAGCGAAGGAATGCGTTTTCACGATACGGTCTGCTTTCCCCGGCGAATGAAAAGCAAACAGAAAAGTCGCGTCTTACCTCGATTCTATGACGTTCCATCGACCGAGTATGCTCGCCTCTTCTTTCTCATTTCATTCTGCCTTCCGTTTTATCCTTCGTTCATAATTCTCAGGACACCTCGCGCCGTTCTTTCCGCAAATGCAATAAGCGCTACAGAGAGAAAAGGAGAGAAAGACGGGGGCTAGGGGGGGACCATGGAGTGAACACCTCAAGAGAACTCTATGTTCTTCCGGTGACGCTCAATTATTACTCGTGCACGGACCAGGTCAATCTCGGGCTACTTTAAATTACTTACTCGGCGCGATATTCCGGGGGGAGCGGAAACTTGGTCGTGGATCTCCTCAGGGAAATTTCGTACGACAGATCGAAAACTAATTCGTCGCGCGAGGATCAAAACTAAAGCGGAATGTTGCAGGCGATGAACGAGATCGCAGCGAGACGGTAGAAACGCGGGAGATGTGCGAGGAGAATCGAGCCATTATTCTCGAGCGGAGTTTTATAGAATCGCACGTTAGGCGATACGATCATAAAACGTTATTTCGAGTACGGGGTAAAAGAGAGGAAAGGCGGTCTTTCGCCAATCTACGAGCCAGCGCCGCGTTATGCGTCGGCTAAAATAGCGAACGATGCGATGATTTGGCGCACAAAACAAGCGGAGGAAATTGCCAGTTAGTTGAAGGTTCGATTTTTCAGAGCCAATACTAGCCGATCCGCAGGACGGCGATGCAGCGACGGTAACGAAAAGTGGCGGAAAAGAGGAGTCAGAATATAAAGAGAGAGAGAGAGAGGAAGAGAGAGTGAGAGAAAGAGAAAAAGAGGTGCGACCCGCATGGAACGGCTAGAAAGCTCAGCGTAGGAAATGAGATCTACAAGTGAGCGAACTGGACGAGCGCGGGTGTACCGCCGAAATGCAATTTTCATCCGGCTGCAGTCGCCCGCTTCTGCAACGCAGCGGCTGCAGCTGCTGTCACGCCGACCAATTCTCGTCCCTCCCCTTCGCCTCCCTCTTCGTCTGTCCTCGGGTTTTTTTCCGGCGCGCCACATCACCATTCCCTCGATATGTTTACCGGACTGATTGCATTCGCGTAGACAAATAATCTGATATTACGATGAAACAATCCAAGCGCGACGTTGCGAAATGCACGTAGCGCTCGCGCAACGTAACGTGGTAACGTGTACAGAGAACAACGACCCGATTAATCGGTACACCGCAGACGATTGCTCCGATGATGAATCGCACGACGCATCGCGGAAGTACACGTCACAGAAGTTTAAAATGAGAATGCATTTTTATTTTTCCACCGGGCGATAATTTTTTGCGCCGCGATGACTCTTGTTAAGCGTTTCTTGTGCCGGACGGGATAACGAAATGCACGAAATGCACGTGGGGCAAAAACGCGACAGGAACATAGGAAGAGACATGGAGAGGCAGAGAGGCAGAGAGGCAGAGAGAGAGAGAGAGAGAGAGGGGGGAGAAGCGAAATAAAAAAAACAACGAACGACTGGTTACCACTTCATCTCGAGCGCAGTCGAGCTACGGCTAATTAATGCACTTTTGTCGGTTTGCTGTGACCCTGCTCGCGCTATGCACGAGAACCGCGATGAGGAAAAGGGTGGTCGAGAAGCACAGAGAAGAGTCTGCATGTGGTAATAAGATTGTATTATGTCGACTACCCTTGTATGATATTCTGTCTGTTCTGTCACGCATGAAGGAATTGTATATGAAGCAAATGAAAATAGACGAGAGTGGTAAAGATGTCAAGATAAAGACGAGATAATAAAACAATACAATGTAAACGTGATTATTTAAAAAGATTTCTGCGATAATATTATTCTGTGGAAATTGTGAAGGTAGAAAACAAGCATTTGGCGGGTTGGTTAAAAAAATGCAAATCATGGATTTGCAATTATATTGTGCCGCCGAGTTTATGCATTAATTTACCGTCGTCTATATATCTATCCCAAAGATGAAAGAATTATTACAAAGTTACAGACGGTATGAAGCCGAAAGTTGATTAAAATTCCTCAGTAATGCTGAAATTTATAAATAAATCTTCTTAATTACTTTTTCTCTCGTTTCATCGTGATATTCTCTATAAAAGTTAAAAAGCCGTGCTGGATACAAGCGTATATGTACCGTAACGACACGTTCTTTTACAAAACAACATTCATATTCATGAATTCGTGTTTAATCCCCGTTCATCCATAATTTTTATCAAAATTGATACGTAAGTACAAAATAGAATAAACGGGACATTTTTTACAGCATTCTGATTGATAATTACCAACTTCTTTTTAAAGTAATTATTCGCGATAGAAACTACTAATTGTGCAATAATAGGAAAATTCAAAGTGAATTTGTAACAGAATGTCTCAAATAGTTGTGCAATGGATACATATCGTTTAGAAACATGTCACCAGAGACAAACTAGAAATACTCGAAGTGACACGGTTTACCGAAGTTTTTTAGTAATTACGGAGATACGATAAGTTATTTCAAAAATATTGTTTGATTTAGTATGTTCACTGCATGGCACGAAACAACAGCAGTCGCGAATTGATAATTATCGGACAGTTGTCCGGTAGTTACCGGACAAGTTTAACACCAATGTTTGAAGACCATTGATTACATAATTCTGCATATTTTAGTGAAACTTGCATTCAGAATTATCTTTCTTCTACGAAAACATATCAGCAGCGACAGCACAACATATATGTCACAATTATTGGAAACGTAAACTATGCTAGATGTTATATTTCAAATGTTTTACGAGTTTCCTATGTAACATATATTCCTACGTATCAACAAAATCTCTAATCCTATAAAAACATTCCCAATTTTCACTCAATTTCGAGAAGATATATGACAGCCGTGTACATGTAAAGTACAATTTATTGGATTTATGAATTTTGCATACTTCGAGGCGTGTTAGTACGTTGCTATACGTGACGACTGATACATTAATGTCTTGTTAATGTTTTGCAATCCGACAGTTTGAAGTAAATATAGCCCAGTTGTATATAATATTTTGAAATGTTATACTCGCACATTGCAGTGTTAATGTAGCAATGCAATAGGATTTATGACGTTTTATGAAATAATGGATTTTATTGCTTCAAATATATCGATCGCAATATAACGGCTTCCTCTTTTGTGTATAATATATCTACTTTTATACATTCTATAACTGTAAACTTTTATACGTACGATTCGATTATTTTGTAGACAATTGTCAGCAAAGATATTAGTCAGGAAATCGTAAACCAACGGTAACGAGATGTAGTCAATTTTGCAAAGTGTAACGAAAGAAACCGAATAAGATGATTTATTGTTCCTCCCACATAATTGAAAACATTTATTACGAAATCTTCGTATTAATTAATCGTATTAATTAATGAGTATAAAAAATATACATTAAATTATATATACATAAAATAATTTTTTTTCTGTTTGAAATAATTGATATGTAATATTCCGCAATTCGATACCGTCAAATGTGCAATCTGCCGATTATTAACACATCAGCAGCAAAGTGTTAAGTATTTGAAGGTTTGTAATGGTATTTGACATTATTCTCACGCGAGTAAATCAATACCACTTCCGTTCCAACGTGTATGTAGAAAATGTTATATACGGCGCAAGAAAAAGAAACACACTTACCAGAGGGCTAACTGATAATGGTGGACCGCAAGGTTCGGTTGCGACGTGTCTTTAAGGAAGTTAGCGAAGTTGTAATGCATCTTGGCATTGTAGGGTAGAGACCGCAGTCCCGCTCTGAAACAAGGCGATTTGAGGTCAGACGAGACCATCCTCTCGACCTCGACACGACCCTACCACCCTCATCATCCCATATCTACGTTAGTTATGTTTTGCGACCCTATACATAGGCAATCGGCGCCTGCACCAAGTTCTTGAGCGTATATACTACTGGCACTGTGCCAGTCTCCTTGTTTAAGTCAGAACTAGGCACTCGTCGTAAATGTCTACGGCATCTTCGCGTGACAAAATCATTTTTGTCGTAATCGCGAGGCTCAGATGCGATTGCGTGCAGTAGGAACGATTATTTATGTTTGTCATTAGCGCGAGGCTTTTATTCAAAGCAAGAAAGTTTCTCGGACGGTTAATAAAACATGTGATACGTAAGTCCGTTATCACGTACTTGATTAAAGTTTCTCTAGATGTCCAATCGTTGTTCCGAAGAACCGTTCTGAAACATCCTAAAACGAGCAGGAGAACTACGCCTGTAGTGATCCAGCTTCTTCGTCGTGGTACAGCGGCCCAGCTCACCTGCATACCGTAGACGATCAAAATAATCCATCCGACACTGTAAAATTACATCAACAATTCATGCCATTCGTTGCAATAATCATCAATATTGTTAAGTACAACACGCTAACGAAATTACCTCGGTGTATATAAAACCCGTTCTGCCACGACGAAACCCACCGTGACGAAAAGATTGGACGCAGGTAGGAACGGCAGCACCAGGAACATCCAACCAAGAACAAGAGGCGGATGCCTTTGTTGCTAAAAAAAAAGAAAGAAAAATATGATATATTATTTCAGACATTCGTTGATATATATATATATATATACGGTTTAAATCTTCGTTAAATCTAACGCTACTGCATCGAAATCTCTTCGAGCAAACTGTTACGTAAGTTTCGTCGTCTTTACCGGATGAGTGTACTCGATTAAAGTTTATGTTATACTTAAGTAAGTTTATGTTGCTTTGCGTATAACTCGCATACTCGTAAAATTATGTTTAAATGTACTCGCAAGTTTTTAATGTAAAACGAGTAGTGATTTAATACCATATCTTGTTCTGTCACTTTTTAACTTATTCAAAAGATTAACTTCAGAGCGTCGAAAAATTTTTGGAGAAATTTGATATAGTTTGATATAAATATAAGAATATAATCAAGTAATAACAAGTAGCAGTTTTACGCATTTCATTGGAACATAAAGAAAAAATTTTAAGTCTTTTAGCAATCTTATTGGTTTTCTTTTGTTGAAATTTCATCAGTCTGCATTATAACAAATTAAAGTTATGAAAATGTAAACAAAATGTTAAAACATATCAACAACGAGAGAAAATATTTGAAAAGTTTTGCGAGTAAATCCAAACAAAAATGATTTATCGGACATCCACTTAAATTAAGCCAAGAATGAACGGATGACCCTAGACTCGAAAAACAGTCAATGAATTTTTAGTCAGGTTCATAAAATATTGACTCGAATGGAAATGAGAATGACTCAACGACGTAAATTATAAAAATGTATATAACTGCGATTTTATTTTAGCATCAGGTTCTCGTCTGGCTTATAATCTTCAGTTAACAGTACTTTTAATTATTCATTTTATCGACCATCACAGTACAAAAATAATAAGACGTTTTTAAATCGAAAATATCGCATATCATATCTCTCTTGTATCATGTCTCGTATCAATTCAAACCAGTATCTACATTATTATCCGCGTGTTACAGTATCAAATAAAAACATACGTTTAATGCGCCATCTGATTCCACAACAATCGGCACTGTGGATGCCGAATGTTCGTATACAAAGCTACTGCATAAATTGGAAACGTGTACCGTGTACCTAAACTGCAAGTTACCTCGAGAGAAAAGCATGTTTACGAGACAAATGGAATGCTTCATAAACCTACGGTATCGCACGACACGCACGGATCGTTATCCCACGACGATGAAGAGATCACTGGACTGCGACATGCATCTGCACTGGCACATGCACTTTTGTGTAACTGAAGATGAAGAGACAGGAAACGGTATATCAAAATGGAAACTCATAAAATGGACAGATGCGGATTCTAAAGCTCGCGCATCTCATATCTCTCACTCCGCAGAAATAGATGAATTCAAGATATCGAACACAAGAAAAGAAAATAATAACAAAAAGTTTATATTTCGAAAATTACTCAAACACGAACTTGAACATGAAAAAACAAAGATATGGAGCATCAAAAGTGAAATTCAACAATGGATATTTATGACAAAATTGGTTACAATTTAGAAGACGAAAACGTAATAGCAAGATCGAATTTACTGGTAATTTGCTGCAAATAAACAAAAACTTGGACATAAACATAAACGGAAATAAAAAACATGCGTTGGTTAAAACAAATTCAACTCTTTTATCGATTATATGACATCATGAAAAAAACATGGAACAAAAATAAACGTTATAACCTCGCAGAAGTTCAACGCTCTACTATCTATTTTACATCAGTGGAAACGGTGAAAGAAATTGAAAAAAATACCTAACAAAAGAACATATTAATAACGAAACTTTTCACAAGTATGTCTTCGCGGAAAGCTGCGAACATTGATATCGAGCATTATCACTCGAGGGATCAGAGTGTTGCCGCCAACAATGCGACGTCATTCTCGTCGAGTTTATCTGATGAAAAAGGGAGCAAGCATACAAATAATGTGCTCACGTCGCCATCAGTCGATGATGGATCGGCCACAGTTAAAATGAAAACTGAGAACGACTATGGCGTTCTAGAAAGGACTCATTCTGTAATTGATAATGATGCGACGTCAACGGAGATTGAGATGGGTTTCAGTGGAATTAAAAGTCATCCACTGGCCGATTTACCGTTAGCTCATTCATCGCTATCTCGTGCACACTCAAAAACGTATCTAGGAAAACAGAAAGTCCATCACGGTATTAGCGGGTCGAACCAATGTTCGACTGCTGCTTCACCCAGATCTCTGATGGATGCCAAAACGCTGATGGAAAAAATCAGAGTAAGAATAAAAATCGGAGAGAGATAAAATCAAGAAGTTACCGTACATGTTGCAGAAAAGACTTCAGTTAAAAGTAAACATCAACATAGTTTATTCAGGATTGCATCGTTAAGCCAGTGCGGAGGTAATTATGTGAAAACGAAAAGAAACTTATGGATCTAAAGCCAAGTTATGGATATAATACGTTTGTAAAAAAAATCTATATTGATGGCCGTAGTGTGCTAAAGCATTAATACCAAAATATCATTAGTTCGGAAAAGAACGACATTGGTGAGAATTAATTATTAACGGCGATTTGGAAGAAATTTATTTATGACGCTGAAATATTAGGAAAATCGAAAAAGATTACTTAAACGCGAATCCCGAGCTGCAATCAGAGTAAAAAGAATAATAAACCTGATGAATCCAGCCCATCGTAGCAAGCACCACAAGGTTCGTCATTATAAACAATAGTGTAAAAAGTGGACGCGAAAGAAGAAGCGTCACAACCGCAACAGAATGATATAAATGTTCAGAAAGAAGGCAAGATAATTATTTGCTTGCTTTTGTCAACAGAAGAAACTCTTGGCGAAATGCGAAATACATGTTAAGAGTTATAGAAGAGGTAACGTCATTCAACTCATGTACGGACGTACAACACGAACATATCAGCGATGTAAAAGAAAGTTGGAAAGTTACTGCGAGCGTTGCAACGTCAGCACAGGATGTCTTCCAGAAAAGTTCGGAACAAATTTCAAGATAAATTAATGCAAGATTTAGTGACATAATTCCTATGCAAAATCACAAACGGAAAGAGGAAATTGCTGCAAGCTTAGAAAAGCCAGTGAATTATAATCTGCGATTTTCGGCAATCTTGAAACATACGACGAAACAAGTTAATATAACAAGAATTCGCTGTCTGATTCTGAGTATGATGCGGATAACGAAAAGGAAAATAGAAATGTATCGAAAACTAACTTTGCAAATGTAACTATGTCAGCAAAAGATGTGCAACACTAGCATTATCAAAAACGAACATCAAAATGGCGTAACAATAGCAGCATTCGTTATCCAATTCACATATAGAAGCGCAGACAGAACACGAATACAATAGAAATCTTTAGTGAAAATCAATAGAAACGATTTTTCCATGTAAAACACCAAGTAGAAGGAAACAAGAATAACGTTAACAACAGCGAAAAAAGTTTAAAAACAGCCACAAATACCGTGACATTTCAAATTCGAAACAATATAAAAAACAAGATTTATTAAAAATTGCCATTGCCTAATTTATACGTCGAATCAATAATGAATACTTCCTTCTTTCGAAAAATCGTATGACTTAATCAAGAAATCACGAATGTGCAGATATAGCATCCTCGATAAATACAAAAGATATAGCTGTGATATGTGAGAGCAAAGTATTTTAAAATTTATCAACAATATGATTATATGTATGTGATTCATATACTGCATTATAAATCTATTTAAACAAAATAAATTCTCAAATATACACACAAGACTGTAGAGTAGAGAGCAACCACACTTGTGAGATCTTTCCCCTCTTATAAATGCGTAGATGTGCTGCGTAAGAGTAAGGATGACCCCGTTCGAGGAAAAGACATCTGTTTCCACTTCGTGCCTGCGAAGAGCTAGCTAACCGCCGGCGGTTAGTCAAGCATGTGAGGTGACATTAAAAGCACAGATATGACCTCTTTGAGGAAAAGTGACCATCGACATACAGACAGCGAACCTTAAAGAGGTCATTATGCCGAAGGCTCAACGACCGCCACGGATAATCCAAAAGATGTAGAGGACAGAAGTGGTTTGCGAGATATGCTTTTATCGTTTAACTTAAAGCTTATGTCGTGTAGTTACTACGAAACTTCTTTTACGACTCTCGAGTCGAGCACAATTTCATCATTGTCGGACCGTGGCTGACAGATATCGAGGTACAGGAGTACTACATTTCTCTCTTGTGTTACGTCAGGCCCACGGCTGAAACGTTTAACCGCGGGATGACATTTCGCAGACGATAACTGGTGGTCATTCCGCTTTATGATCTCGTAACGCGGCCGATAACGTCAGCGAGTCTACGATACTGATCACTTGAAAAGAATAACTTCCTTTACGTCGATTCGTTAAAATAAAGTAAAAGAATTGACGTAAAATTTCTCCGTAACTCTCTTGTTAAAACGTGACTTGGTACTGTACCGTAAAGTCGGAATATAACAAGATTTTTCCAACTCTTAAAGGAGTATTTATGAACTCGTAATAACTTATATGCAAATATTTTGATAGATTTTTAGTGCAATTTTACTGTAATCTATAATTATCAAATTTGATATGCTCACCTCGAAATCCGTGAAGGCTTTGTACGTGAGAACCAGACAACCGCCAAAGAATATACAGGTGGCTAGATTTCTGGTGTCCGTAAAAGATGTAACCAAAGGGACAGATCCCATCTGCCAATCGTGCGAGAGTATAGCCGGACACAGGAGCAACCAACAATTCAACGCTGCCAAGTAGCAAAAAGTCAACAATCTGAAATTAACAAAAAGTTTAATTAGATTACGTAGTACAAGTAGTGCAGTTGTATTTCAACTAACAACAAGCATTTTCGAAGATGCGATTATTAATTTGCTAATAATATTTGATTCTGATTTGGCTATTCTGAGAATCGTCGTTTGACGTTGACGAAGTCAAGTCAAGTTTGCCGCGCTAATGTCTTTTTCCGAAGAAAATTGGCTGCTCGATTGTCGCGACGAAGGCAAGTTCTCGCGATCGGTATTGTCCTCTTGGCGTGAGGTGAAGAGGTCGGTCAATGAGGCCTGGAGTGGTATCCTCCAGTTGCTGACATCGAGGTTCCATTTTCTCACTATCAGCATCTACCGATATAATCACCGATATAATGCCCTCCCCTATCTCACGGCAAGCGTCTGTACGATCTTCGACGAGGATATTCTCGGTGTATCGTCGCGCTTCTCGGGACGGCTTACTCGGCAAGTCTATTGTCTCGCGAACAAGCCCACGCACACTACGAGCCGTATAACGCGCCGGTAAATATTCACTCGCGTCGTTGCAAGTGTTAATTCCGATGGTTCATGCGTCCCTCTAATTGTCCTCGGCACCAGATGCGGCAACACCCAGCGCGCATCGGCTTTATTCACCGGGTAGTCGAAAAGTGAATGAGTAACAACAGGTCGCGAAATGTAAGAGATCTTAAGTCCGCCCTCTCAATAAATTGCCAGGTTGATGCGAAGGGGTGAACTTATCTGTGTGTAAAGATAGGAGAGACATCAAATTACGATGAAAATACGATGGAGATTTCTAACAATGTGCGCTGTTACATCGCGATCGTTATATATCATCGCAGATTAAATAAATTTTCTCTGCCAACCCTTTTTGATAACATGGTATATTCCGCCAGTATAATATGACTTTTTATGTATTCTAATGAATCACTGTTTCTTCTAAATGGTACATCGAAACGTACTAAGGGGCATTAAAATTTAAATATAGAGAGAGAGTCCCTAATTGTTCCCTTGGCGCAAGAAAAATCTACATTCTGTGCAGCAATTGTTCTATGTTCCGCAATTAACGACATTTATCCCTTTGTTATTTCGTGCTTGAGCACGTATATTGTACTGCTACTTTCTAATTAATATCCATCTCTTGGATAGTCGGGAAGTGAAAAATGCAATGTAACTCTCGGAGCAAAAAAAAAACAAAGACAATAACGTATCTCGGTTCTGGGCGGCTGTCCTTTTTCCGCATAATTTTTCTTGCCGCCGGCCATCTATATTTTCATTTCGTTGAAATGATTGATGAAAGCTTCTGCATCGCGATTTCGCGAGACACGGGAATTGGGAGCTCCTGATGCAGGAATAAGGGACGATCTGAAATGTCAAAATAATAATTTGTGGCATATGTCAAGCGCGACGCACGTACTGCCATATGAAAGAGCAGGATTTTCCCGAGAAAACGGTCGCATAGAGAGTGACATATTCCCGCACGTCCACTCTTTTTGGAAATCGCAGGTATTACAGAGATTGCTATAAATCTAGGAAGGATATTCTCAGATTTGTGGACTTTCATGGACTTCCATAGACTCGCCCAAACAAATATTCGCTTTTCAGAGGTAGACCTGCAGTAGTCCGCCCGTTGGTAATAGATAATAGTAGTAGAGTAATAATAGTCAGAGATGCTTCTCTATTTTCGTTTGCCAAGCATATAAGAGCAACAAATGAATAAACTATTAATTTACTGCCACGTACATTAAAGAGCAAAAGAATTGCAAAAGAAATTTATTTCTTACACTTTGTACTTCTCTAATTTGAAAATTATTTAATCCTTCTTTTACTTGCAAATTTAATTTGTATTATCTTCTATATTATTTCTTGTTTATTAACAAAAGGATATTAATATTACATTGGAAATTTTGAACGCTGAAAAATTAATCAATTGGTTCAATTAAGACCATTTCATTAAGATGGTTCGCGCCAGACACCGTTTCTTGTTGGTCTTACGATCGTTTGTCAAGCCGACGAACTTTCAGAAAAAGCTTTCCTTTGAAGCCGTCATTCGCGTAGAAACGCGATGTCATTAGCTTTTAATCGGAGCGTTCCATCAATTTACCCTCTCTTTCATTCAACCGCCCTCTTTTTCCTCTATACCTTCGTGATATGCGGATATCGATTCTGTCGATGCTCATAAGCGGTAAACTTTCCCGTCCGTATTCTTCCGTTAAGGTATTGTTGGCTTCCAAAATTACACGCATTGTGTCAATCATTGCGTATCTATCTCACATACGAAAAGCGGAGAAATTGAAGCGCGAATTGATATAAAAATTCATTCGCTAGTCGCCAGTAATATTAAATGTACTTGTCAGCCGTTATTAGCATTCGCTTAGAATGTGTCCGAACGGAGGATGACAATTTTCAAAGCGCTTCGAAACGATCAATCATGGTTGAGAAATTCATGAAACCAGGTGCAAAGTGGAAACTTTAATCGACGCTCGCGTGATAAGTTCTTCGCACCATCGTCCGTTCGTTTCGTCATCGCCGGCACGTAAGAACTTTGATCTCCCGTACATGCTTTTGAATTCAGATGAAAGCAATTTCCCTCGATTACCAGGCCGAGGTGCAAGATAGGCTACGATCGATTCGCACGTGTTCCTAAGCATTCACTTGGCGATTTCGAAGCGAGATTTATTGCATGCATAATCACGCAGCTTCTAAGCACGCAAACTGCCATCATTTTTCTATGTCAAATTTTTCAGATAGTCATCCCATTTGCATAAATGCAATTTCCAAGCGCGAAGTCATGGATCATGTAATTAAAAACACATGCATACCTGTAACAATTTGTTAGTAATGTTCTTCACACTATATCAATTGAAATGTAAAACACTTAGACCGAAATGCAAATACACACTTTGGTTTAAAAATAAAATTAGATATCTTCACCGATAAACACATTTTGCTAATGCGCACTTGTATTGTGTGTTTTCTTTTCTATCGCGCTAGTGTTTCTGTTCCGAACTCTCGGAACGTAGACTAAATTTAGACGCTCCGGCGGTGTAATAAATTATCAATTTTCTTGCGAGACAGCGCATTTTGTTTCGAGACAGCTCGTATTGCGTGAATAATCGTGACGGTCGCCGTGAATCGTTATAACCGAGAGGAATAAATTGCTCGTCTCTGAGTTATGTTACGTCGTTTCTATCATAAATTATCTTTTGCATGAACAATGATTTTTCGTCGCATTTCCGCACGTTCTTTTTTCTCTTTTGCGAAAGCGTGACACTGAATAATCTAATTTTCGGATTATCTCGTTACTCTCGTCAAAGGGTCTCTGAAAAGTAGAGGCGATCGACGCTGTTGCGTACGAAGCGATTGACCGGGAAACGACGCGATATCGTGAGAAGAGTGACGGTGCGGGAAGAGGTCTCTGTAATAGAGGTTTATTGGCAATTAATCTTGCGAGCCGGATGTGCCCGCTTCGTCGGGCACGATACACTTCCGTCTCGGCGAGCGACCGGTAAACCGAGGAGAGATGTATTGCGCCGTCCTACACGGAATCAAACGTACGTCCTTCTCTCCGTCCTTCCTCCCGTCGATGCCGAACCTCCGGTGTACGCGCCGTGCGTCTTTGTCAACCGCGCCGGAAGTGTATTGTTCCCCGAGTACCTCCGGTGCTCGCAAGGTGCCCATCATCCTGATTGAGCGGGCTAACGTACGTAAGTGGCGTTATCTTTTCCGCGTTCGCGTTGCGTAGTGTCTAATGTGTTAAACTTGACTGAAGTGTATCTATTTCATCGCGATATAACATTGACAAAGAGCGAAGTTGATCGCCCGTTACGTTCCTGCGTTTATCATAGTTATCGCGCTTTCCACGCCCACGTCAAATTATCCAATGCGAGGGTGGTATCCTGAATTGGCTCTCCCCCTCCCCCCCTCTCTCTCTCTCTCTCTGTCTGCGCAAGAGTATCGATTTTCTTTAATATTTAATAGTTCAATTCTATTCTGGTGGTGTCACAAAGAGAAACAATAGCACGCGTCGGTGCACCGTTTCTGTGAATAGTAGTAATTCCGTCATTAAATTTAACCTCGATGATCGGATACGCGAGCTGCGATATTGCGGTTTGATTTTCAATCGACGGCCTGCCGATAGAAACGTGCCACATAGAATTCAAAAAAGGTCGCGCTTGTCACTATTCGTTAGCGGGCTCATCACCGGCTGTTACAGGAACTATTATTACAGTATAGTATAATTATTTTTACTGTGAAACGGACCGCTATCAGCGCTGTTATTATTTTCACTAAATCGGATTAACGGTCATTTGCAATGGCCGCAGCCATCAGCTCGGAGTGCATTCTCAGTTTCTTTAATTAAGAATTGTCATGAAGGTGAAAACGGAAATGGGTCGAAGCCAGAAACGGCATACGTAGATGTTGCATTTAACCCGATCTGCATTTTCCGCTTAAATGCATTCGCCCCTTCGAGTTTCCGACTTTTCGCCGTGCTACAGCCATGCCGTTTAGACGTTGCTCTTCGGAAATCGGATTTTCTTCCCTCGTTGTTAATGGCTCGTATTAGTTCGGCTCGCGCAAGTTGTTTTAATTGAACGTACACGAGAGCATCGGAACTCTCCACCGGATCGTAAAGAAAAGAATAATTAACGAACGAGCGATAACGTCGGTACTGTTTAGAGTTGTATTTTGGGATATAAACGCGAGAAACGTGCTCATGCCAGCGAGCTCATAAAGGATTCTCGCTAATTAAGAGCATTCGATTGAATGGCGTGCAAAAGAAATTACATCCATTATTGAACTTCTATATGGAAAATAAATTTTCTTTTCATCGCACTGTCTCTGTCAATTATTTATTCAACGTGTTGCGCTATTTAATTGCCGCATTGCGCGATACGATATTTGATTATGCTTCATTAAATATACTCAAGGACCATATATTTCTCGATTATCCTTTGTACATACATTACACTTCGTATAACGTATATATTGGCAAAGCAACATTCATCG